GGACTGCTGAAGGCCTCGAGCTGGGCCTTCCCGAGCTTCAGACCGAGGGGTACAACAATGGGTGAAGTCTTGAGAAGAGCAGTGGACCAAAATGAAGCCCAAGATTCAGCCTGGCCCGGCAGGAGGTGCCAGTTCCTCTCTGACCCCATACCCCGGCCCACACAACTGCAGGCTCGGGGCCGCTATGAGGAAGCCGAGCTGCTGTACCGGCAGGCACTGGAGATTCGCAGCGGCCTCAAGAGAGCTGGTGGCGTGAGATCTTCGAGTCATGAGCTCCATTACTTGTGCAGTGAAGGGTAGTCTGAAGAGTTGACTTGGCTGTCAGGGTTGTGGTTGAAGATTTTGCACCACGCTTGGCACGGTAAAGGGGTGCGTTGAGCCGGCGATGGAAGCAGCATGATGTTTCTGCTGTTTGGATCGCCGTGTCGAAGCATGCCATTCCTGTTTGGACGGACGAGTGATTCGATTGCCCCGACCGCCCCACCAGACTTTTACACATTCTGTCTGCAGATGCAACTTGGAGCATTAGACCGGGACTTCGTGTGGAGACCTGTGGATGTCAGAAGAGCAGATTCCCCCACAGACATGCCCCATTCAATCCCTCTGATCGCGGGGGCCGAGGCCGGGTGAGGCTGGGCGACTCCCACCCGGATACGATGAGTAGCATGTACAACTTGGCCAACTTGCTGAAGACGATGGGCCAATTGGAGGAGGCCGAGCAGCTCTTCCGCGAAGAGCTCGAGCTGTGCTGCCCGGCCTGCACTGGGCACTGAGGCTCCACCTCTGGTGGTCGAGACAAGTCGTGACTTTCCATCGTTCTCGCTCTTACCTGCTATTTTCACCGTTTACAGCAGCACTTTTCAGGTCGGTCTGTCCACGGCGCCCAACACAAGGAGACCGTCAGCTCCACCAGGAGCTTAGCCAAGTTCCTGAAGGACCCGTCCTCGACTCTCGAGTCGGGCTGAAGGCATGTTCAGGCCACTGCATCACTACAGATACAATATGTGTTTGCGAAGAAAGGTGGAGCTTAAACGTAAGCCTTCGATACTCCAGGCTTCTCTTCGGCTGTAGTCTTCTGCCATGAGGTTCTGTAGTCTATAGCCTATAGCAGTTGATCCTACGTACTCGAATCGAATCGCGGTTCCAGAAGCTCTTGTAGCCGCTCCAGCCTCGGACACCGGTCACAGCAGTGAACTTTCCCTGTGCCAGGCATTGCAATTGACTGTAAATGCGGTGTACTACGCTTGCGCTACCGTGCGCACATTGGGATGTGTCCAGCTAGGCTCCCGCAATCGAAGCTTTCAATGCCAGGCCCGTATATATCACCTTTCTCACACTCAATGCTGGCTGGAAGCATCTTGAACGCGACGGTGGGTCGTCTGTAGATGGTATCAATGGTATCAATTTGCGAAAAAGGGTGCTGGAATCGAGTCTATATTGCCAGTCTCAAGAAGTTCTTAGGTCACGCCATTTGCTTCCGAACAGCTCGAGCTTGGGCCAAGCAGAATATAGTCCAACACAACTTTATCGGCGTGTGCTGCTGCTAGATGCCAATTTGCTATTGGTGGCTTCCGTTAGCAGTTTTCGACCGAATATCGGGTTGCCACAGATGGGCTGAAGAGCGCGGCTGCGCTTTGCAAGCGACACTCAAGAGTCTAGGCGCGTCTAGCCCTCAGACTTCAAAGGCTCCAAGCAGTGGTGCGGGCCAGATTATGACAAGCATGGCTTCGATGGGAGAAATGAAGCATGTTTTGCAGTTCGTACATCGATTTGTTCTTGCTGCTAAGCATGCTTACCTTTTAGCTTTTCCTATATACTTCTTACATCTTCTTACCTATCCACGTTGGCTTTGGCATCTTTACCTGATCCTCAAGAGGCTTCGTCTGAAGCCCGCGACGCCTAACAAGAGGAGCTGGGCCGGGAGACGGAAGCGGCGGAGGTCCTCGCTGGCATCTCCTGACTCAGAGGCCTCGGACAGGAGGCTAAAGAGTTCCTTTCTTCCGGCTGTTTCAGATAGAGTTTGTCACAAGGATTCCGCCATTCAGGGTTCACCTCAGGAGTCGTTTCAGTCTCTGAATCCTGCGAATCTTTTGCTTTTCCTTGAGCTCGATACTGGCATAGGGTAGCTTCTTCGGTTTGCAACGTACAGAGTTGAGACCGGCCGGGGTACAAGGATTTAGACTACGCGGTTATCTTCATGCGGCTGATCGTTCAACGAAGCCGACTGGGTCGGGTCCCTCCGCTCTAGGTCTTTACCTTTTGTTTACTATCATTATGCTGTACCCTGTTTCTTTGGGCGAGGAAGTGATAAACGAATGACCTGATCAAAGTGACAACCCAAATGACAAGACATGTGGAGACTATTTGTGGTTGTCCAATCATGTCCTGGCTTAGCGGTGAAGGCGGTCCCAAATGGTGTGCAGCTGGAGTTCGGCTTGGGGTCTTCGCGCGAATGGCGACCTTCATGTAGCTTAGCTTAGTAGTCTCAATCTGCTCAGGAAATCTTCCAAACGGACTCCAGAGCCCCCATGCACACCTCTGCGCACAGCAAATACAAAGGTCGTTGTGGCACACAGATTTACTGGGTTTCGCCATTGGGGTTACCCCCGCTCCACGTTCCAGATGTCAGGATAGTTGGAAGGTTCCACTTAAGTTCAGATAAGATTGGCAAGGTGCAGTTGTCCTTGGAGTTCAGGTGCCCATGGCTGACCATGCGCGCCGGCGTCGGAGCCCAAGCCGGCTCGCCCATCCCCAGATAGCAGGACTTGCGGGCTTCAACCTGGGAATCATGAAGCCATCATGACGCTGATCTGGAGTTAGCGACCATAATAACAGGCTAAGAAGTGGCATACCATGACATACCTTTCTTTGCATGAACTCAAAACCAAAGCCTGGATCAAGCCTGGACCACCAGCTGAAGGGGTTGCGGAGTGTACACCGAGGAAAAGCCTCCCCACCTGGGTTCCGAAGGGAATTTCATACCGACGTCAAGATCAACAGCCGAAGTCCCACTGGTTTTACTGGCATGATGGAATTTGGAGCTCTCTGGGGTATATATTTGAGTCTTCCTGCCATGTATATGGTCACGGATGACATGGGGTAATCGGCCGTTGGTCGAAGTTCAATTACCAGACTCGTGAATATGCGGAAGTGGCACTGTTTCCCGTGCTTCTCGGCTGGCTGCTGACGTTGCTGCTTGTTCTGGCTACATCCTGCGACTGCTACTGCGTCCCTGAATCTGCCAGGCAGACGGTCCATCGACCTCCGCATGCCATTTTTTTCAGGAGGGTCGAACCGGCAATGCTTTGAACGCAACTCGAGCTTGTTCTGTGACAAGCTGCCTGTGTTCCCCCCATGGTTCCTTTGATCGATGCTTAGTCAGCCGCATAACTGCCCACAAACCCTGCGCCAGGCCCTGCAGCTGCTTGCTGAGACTGCGAGTCCGCGGCCTCGGCCGGACTTCCATGCAAGCAGCCGTGCTTGGGTCGCAAAAGAGGATGCAAGAGGTACCCAGGGGGTTTAGGGTCATTGACAAGGCAGCTGACAGAGCAGCATGGCAGTCTCGTACAGATACTGTTGTGAGCAGATATGAGGGAGTGTATCGTTTTGTTCACACTGGTAGTTTCCACTCCATGCGTAAGCTGTTTGGTGCTCACTCACATCCCTTGGTTGATGCCATTATTTCTTCAGCTCACCCCACAGGGTTGCACCGTACATGTCCTTGACCAGACCCATGGATGGCAGTACACGACTCTTTCTGGTCATTTTCCTCAGCTACACGAATGGGAGTCCGCTCTTGTCATGCTTACCACGCTGTGGAGTCCTTGGGTCATACAGTTGTGTTTCAGCAGTGACGTACATGATATTTTCAGTGGGGTATGCTCTCCTTTGCAGACTTTAATCTGGCAGCAACATCGTCGAGCTTTACTTTGCGAGTACGTTGATCCGCGTCAATAGTCTATTCTTGAGCAGATGGTGCAATAGTTTACTTTCCAGGGATCTTCAGT